CTTCGTTCTAATACGACAATCAACAATACTACTTCCTTATTCTTTTCCACTGTGCAATCCTAATCACCAGCAGAGCAAAAAAATTTCGTTATCATCCGTTACCCTCAGTGCAGCACTCTTATTGTCGTATCTCATTGATATTTCAACAGATATGGTCGTTTCCTGTGACAAAAAGGTACATTGCTCCGATGAGAAACCATCAGATTTTCTTCGTGATTCTTCCTCTCCCAGTGGTCACTCAACGGAATACAAATGAAACGAACCGTATTATCTGGATCCATTTCGATTGCATTCAGGAGAATCTCTGATGCTTTCTCATGGTTGCCCAGCAAGAAATGAATTCTTCCAACTTGACATAAGTAATTCGCATTCTGCGGACTCAATGCAACTGCTTTTTCGAACCTCAAATCGTTTGCATAACAATGCACACATATCCATCCCATTAATATGTTTGTACAAACATTGCTTCGAATCAGTTTTGAAATGACATTTTTTTGAAATGTTCAAAATCTTCGTGGCAGTACAAAAGATGATGAGAAGTACGAATTGATGATCTTAATGAAGAAGTGAAAATGGGGATGTGATTTGGATTATTAGTAAAATTTATCGAATGAATACAAGAGTGCCTCACCACTCCAGAGATTCTCTGAGATTTCCTTGAATTCGAGCGATTTTGCCTCGGATATAATTCGCATATTCATTCATTCCATTCGTTTCATCCAATATTTCCTATCAAATGTTTCGTTGTTATGTCGAAGTTACTCACAAAAAACGCTCCAATTGCACTTCTACGCATCACCCACAAATTCCATGAATCGAAGGGGAGTGGAGGAAACGAAGTGAAAATTCGCTGGAAAAGTTGCAAGGAGAAACCTTAATCAACGCTTTACACGCCTCGAAATCACGTCGAATGTAATACTGATGAAGCAGAAAATTATGTCGATCGATTGTCGTCAACTCTTGTGCTCTCTTCTTCGGATCATTCACAATTGCTCTGAATTCAGCACTCACTCATTTTCACGTCTCTACAATTTCCACTTGAAACAGTCAATTGATACGAAAGATATTCATTCCAAATAACTATAAANCATGCTACGCTTCGTAAATTGTGTTATTTGTTGAGTGTGATTTTCGAACCGTTTAGGTTTCTTCTCATCAGCTGAGTTATCGTCTGTTGGAGCGCTCACAACTGTTGCTTCAGACTCACTGTTCTTGCGTATCGGCTCACTCGTAGTATTCGAGTACATGTCGCAACTATTCGTCGTATTTGTCGGTGCATCTGTCAGGTCCATCCTGCAATAAGTTTGCTCAAACGACATCTTCATTCACGTTACAATTATTCGTTTAGACGACAATCAATCATGATCGAAGAATTGCGCGAAGCAGTTCAAATCCTTATCGTTAGCAGCATCGCAACTTGCTTAACCTCCACAACAACTGCAACTTCCTCGTTCAGGTGGATTGATCGTTCAGCAGCACATTCTAAACGAACGTTTCTCGATAATATGCGATCAATAAGCATGCATAATGATGGAATCAAGTTGGAAATTGGAAAATACTCATTGAAACGAAGTGCTGGCAACGTGACGACTGCTATTATTGTATCGACTAGAAACACTGACCCTCTCATCACTTCGTTTCATGCAAAGAATGCACACAAAATTTGAAAGTTCGAATGAAATGAGCAAAAAATCACTCAACTCAAAGCAAATTTTTGGACTGCAACTCAGATCCTCAATTGTCACTGGTGAGCCGAGAATGTGCCTCGTAATAACACCTTCAAAGCGATTTGCATCATTTGCAGTATGCAGTATGTGCATTCAATGCGTTGTCATGGTAACTTCTCAACTGTTCTTGTGATCCAAAGCATAAGCCTCATAGTTCCGCCAATTGAACATCTTGTCCACATCTTTTCTCACTCATACTTCGGCAGCACAATACATGGTTGTTTAGAAAGTGTTCATTAAGAATACACGGATGAAAATGTTTAGTCCCATAACTCCAAACCTCTTGAATGTAAACTAAAAATTTCACTCGAATGAAACGATCATTTGACTGTGTGAGGGTAATCATTGAATGTCGCATGATGTTAGCTACTAATGTTTTTTTTGCGTAGAAGTTTGCTATGGACTGCAATAACGTTTCCCATATGGTGAAGATGAATGATGTATGTTATCTGTTTATTATTGAAGTTGTAACAAAACTTCCATCAATAATAGCAACTGTAATACAACGACAACAACAACGATAGCAACAAAAACTTTCGAGCGTTTCATAAAAATCAGCAACATTACATGAATAAGTTCGTGAACGTTTTCATAATGAACAACAGACAAAAATATATAATATCAATACAAAAGTACATAATAACGAGATTACAAGTTTCAAAAATATAGCGACGAGAATCTTTAAAAACAGCAATGAATAGCAGTGAATGTTTCTTAATAAATATCGGATCAACGAAATTCCACGGAAACTTCAAACAATGTTACGTAAAAGATCACAATTCTTTTCATAATCGCCACAACAAAACATTCATTGCTCCCGTGAAACAGTGTGATGAAACGAGCAAACGGAACGACAACAAAACAAGTATTGTATGCTGAATTATATCTGAATATTAATTGCCGCAACCGGAAATTTGCTACGAGATAGATGGCCGCAAAATCCCACCATCTCTCGATGAGAGCAAATCATTGTTTGAATTTTACAATCAATATCGTTTTTTAACAGCAAAGTTAATGCATGAAACCAGGACTTCTGGCTGAGATCCGAAGATTCGCAGATTGTAGACGCACACGTTCAACTCACTGAAGTACCGGTATTTCTGATGAATTGTTCACCCCACGCTTCCTAGAAGGAAAAAATTTACTGGGTCAACAATGACTAATCCAATTTTTCGATTACGCTCATCAAACTCCATCCATCCAAACAAAATGAACCAGAAATTGAATGAGCTGAAAATTTCGAATAAATAATCCAGAGTAAACAGATCGTTATCAATTGATTACCTGAGTGCATCACTGATATACTCGCCATGCTTTCGTACTATCGGCGAATACTGCTGCGATTCCTGTTCGATCAGATCAGCCAGTTTAAGGATGATGTTCTCAGCCCCAATCGCACATGCATGATGATGCATTCGATTCACCTCCTATCAAATATTTCATTTTTCATCAATACTCAAACAACACAAATAAAGATAACGTTGAAGACAAAATGAAAA